GCTATGAATGAAGAGTTTTCTTACTCGTCACTGTTTTTTAAGATATATTATCGTCCAACTGGCAGGCCCCTAGCAGCAAGGATATTTTACGGCTATAGATTTGCTTTGCAATTTTTATTTTTGGAGATTCCTTTAAGGTACACTGGACCCGCGGCCAAGTCCAACTTACCCGAAACCGAATGATCGATTTCTGACCGCAGATTTGGAAGATCATCGACCAGAAATCAAGGATCAGCGTAAGTGGGACTTGGCCCCCCGTCTCCAGTAGCCTAAGCTGAGTATTGGTCTCAGCAGATTTGTACCGGGTTGATATGTAGGGGCGTGTTCTCGGGCCCCGGGACCTTGTCCGGTCAACGTGGGGTTTTCGAGCCTGTGTGACTGTACGCGGCAAGGGAGATGCACGTAGTCCAATTCATCTAACGGTCCGTTTTTAATAAAAAGGGCAATAGAGACCATCTTCGCTTTTTCTTACAACAAAAAACAGAAATAAATCCTTTCTCTCGAATACTACTGCCCCTACCCTGGACACTGTCTCCTTTTTTCGAGACAGCTAGTTCAATGACCCTCTTGTTTCCTCAACAGGCTTTTTTCAAGAGAAACTGTAGGAGCCTCCTTCCGTTTGCCATTTTTGGACGGGATTCGGGCACCTCTTCATTTTCTGCTGTGAAAGTGCCCGTATGCCACTCCAATTGTGAAAAATGAAAAACGAGAACAATTGTATTCCTGCCATTTATAAATGCATTTCTCATTTGAAATTGAATTAAAATGAATTTTTTTAGCTGTCGCACCGTTGAGCTTCCTCAACTAAACGGTGCAAGTGGGACAAGGTCCCCCGTGGTCTCATTGGAATGAAAATGTTATCATTGTTATGTTTCTCCAAAAAAAAAAAAAAAAAAAAAAGTAGGTTTCTTTTGTTTTTTTTTTTGGTGGACCTACCGACCATGCCAACTGTGGGCACCTGAAAAAAAACAACAACAACAACAACAACAACAACAACAACAACAACAACAACAACAACAGCAACAACAACCCTGGGCACCCCCACCAGCAGTACCGGCTAGGTCTGGACATAAATAAATGCCACATGAGGACAGATTTATGATGGGTCGTGAGGAGGGAGAAGACGGTGTTACAAAAGAGAGAGAGAGAGAGGGCAACACTAAGTTGCGTGATATGCACAGCGTCAGTGCAGACGTAAGGATGCATTGAATGCATCTGTCCTTCATACGACGTTGCGTGGTCATTTCCAAACCTTGGCGACGATAATTTTGATGGGCTCCCCCCCCCCCAAAAAAAAAACAACCACCACCACCCAACTCGCACACATACACTCCCTCGTCAAATGAAGAGCAAACGGCGTAAAACGCTCCAGCAACCGGCAGCAACCGGTAGCAAACGGTGGCAAACGTTGTAGGTTTATATAGGACCACGCCCTTCTCTGCACATTGAAAGTGTGGACCAAATTTCTTCAGCGTGCTTCTTTTGAACTTAGTGCGATATTTAAGGGCTAAGGTACCCAAAATGAAATTAAGTCCCGTGCTTCTTTTGAACTTAGTGCGATATTTAAGGGCTAAGGTACCCAAAATGAAATTAAGTCCCAAAGACCTATTTCGCCCGCTTTGGATAAGGTGAAAAGTCCGCACACACACGACGGCACGACCCGTGCAAGATGTAGTAGTAGTAGTAGTAGTAGTAGTAGTAGTAGTAGTATAATGGAATGGAAAGTTGTTTAAAAATAATAATTAAAAAAAAAAAAAGAAGTAGAAGTAGTAGTAGTAGTAGTAGTACAGTAGTAGTAGTAGTAGTGTATATTAAATATGGACCATTTATGGATGGATGGATGCGTGGCATGCTTGCGGAGGGGCCATTTGCTAATTTAACCTGGTCTGTATGGTTCCAAATTTAACGGATGTCCCAAAGGGACTGTGCAAGATATTATTTGATTCAAAGGACATTTTCTTTTTATGTTTTTTGTTTTGATTTTTGTTTTTTGTTTTTTTCATTTTCTTTTTATGTTATCTTATTGACAACTTATTGTTTTTTCCTCTTATAATTTCGTTGAAGTCGTTTTAGCTTAAGGAATGTAATTGTCTTTTCTTTTTCCAGGAAGGGAAGCCGTGCAAGACGTTAGACGAACCCTGATGATCCCAAAAACAATATCCTTTCTTTGGGCCAGATAACGTCTGAAAACTTCTTTCCTCCCTGCCTGCCACGTGTCCAGCCCAAAAAAAAAAAAAAAAGGACGACCGTGAACGAAAAACCAACGACTTGCATGAAGACATGCGCATATATATATGTCTATATCGTCAAACAGAACTGCCTACGGTGAACGGTAAGCAGAGAGGGAGGAAGCGAGAAGAGGTCACCAAATGAGGGGCTGTGACAGACTGTTTCGTCGGAGTTTCACCTACTCATCAGGATCCTGAACCCTCTCATGTATATATATCTATATAGCCTCCTGATGAGTCGGTGAAACTCCGACGAAACAGTTTGTCACAGCCCCTCGTTTGTTGTCCTCTTCTCTCTCTCTGCCTACGGTTTACCAGGCAGTTCTGTTTGTGACGATATATATATATATCGTCACAAACAGATATCTATCTATCTATCTATATATATATATATAGTGGAACAGAGCTGCCTAAGGTAAACCGTAGGCAGAGAGGGAGAACAGGACAACAAACGAGGGGGGGCTGTGACGAACTGTTTCGTCGGAGTTTCACCAACAGACTCGTCAATCAGTAGAGGGCCAGAGGCTGAACCCTCAACAGTCTTCAGAATCTCCTAACTGACTGATTACACTAAGTAAGTGATAAAAATCACTTTAACCCCGGCTCTGGTTAAGCATCAACGGCCAACGACTGCACGACAACTGATACCCCTCTGAGGTAGTGGGGACCACCGCCCACTGCCCTCAAGGTACCTGTGACGAAAATCAAAGCAGACTATCACTCACCCACACATCAAGGTGGAAAACTCTACAGACTGCAGGGGGGTTCACACCCCATCACAAGCCTGCAAGACAACCACGAAACCAAGAAAGGTCTGTCACAGCCCAAATATACACTCCACACACGCCGCTGGCACTAGAGGCACAGCTTGCCCGCCTACGGTCTTCCCCCGAACATTTAACGCACCCTAAAAATGAACGTATACAAGCTAAATTTCCAGTTCGGTACCGCCGTAATCAGGGTCCGTTGTGTTCGGGGAAAGCCGGTAGTGACGGCCCCGACCACTGCCCGTCAGGAGAAAACCGTAGCAAGGTGCTAGTGACGTCGTGGTATATATATATATGTATATATATCGTCACATATATATCGTCACATATATATATATATATATATATTGTCACAGCCCCTCGTTTGTTGTCCTCTTCTCTCTCTCTGCCTACGGTTTACCGGGCAGTTCTGTTTGTGACGATATATATATATATATAGTCAAACAGAGCTGCCCGGTAAACCGTAGGCAAAGAGGAAGAAGAGGACAATATATATATATGAGTCGGTGAAACTCCGAAACAGTTTGTCACAGCCCCTCGTTTGTTGTCC